AATATGTTGAAATAAAATAAACGATTAGGCAGGCACACGTGTATGTTATATACACGAACAGCAGGAGCACGAACATTTCATTTCACGCATGATGGAAACTCGGAAATCACTATAAAAATAACAGTATATATATATATATATATATGAAAGTAATCGTTCGATATGTAGTAAAATGAACATTCCATATAATGTACATATATATATATATATATATATACGATAACGATGTGTTCTTTTCGTCTCTATACTTTAACTAAATGAAAAATTAGAAAATAATTAGAAACGTAATGATTTATACGAGAAAGAACGTACGAGGAGATCCAAACGCGTCCGTGGCTCAACAAAGACTAATGGAAAAGTATCTTTGTATATAATCTTACGTTACTTGTAAATAGAAACGTCCTATTCCGAGTATCTCTCTCTTCTCCTTTGAATGTCCTTGTTTAATATCTCAATAATATATACATACATATCTTACATTAACTATCTATATGATCTATGAAGAACGTGTTATTGTTGATAAACGTTTTGTCTCCTATATTTATGAAAAAGATCATACTTTCGGTATCATTAAGCGAGAAAACTCCAAGGGAATAAGACGTATGTATCGTATTCCTATATTATTTATTACATATATATATATATATATATATATATATATATATATATATACACAGATATCATTAGTTTATTAAGTAACATCGTATTAATCCTTTTGCTGGCTTTTGACGAATCCATGAATGTTTTGATCATACGAACTGTCTCTCTCTCTCTCTCTCTCTTTTTCTAAATAATTGTTCAATAAAAAAGAAAAAAAGAAGATACACACATACACACACACACATACATATAGGCGGAAAAAAATTTCTTCTTTATATGTCATTATCATTTCTATAAATTCATATAGCCACACTGATGATCTCTTTATTCATTTTTTTCTAATACTCTTGTTCTTTGATTGGCAAAGAGATAATTTTCATTTTTCGTTCCATTTCGTTCAAATAACGTATAATATTCGGTACGTATGTACGTATATAGAGCATAGGGATAAGTCGCGTATTCGTCGGTCATAATGTCGGTGGTAAAACATCGCCAGCTATTCGCGCTATTCAAGCGCAACAGGTATTATACCTCTAACGTTAAACTCTCGCACTCTAGCGAGCTTCATCACTTTCGAGCCGTGAAGTTACACGAGCTAAACGAGCTAGGGAATCGGAAATTTTTACAGAGAGCCGAAAATGGAAACGATTTTGTATCTATATGTACCTATGTATCTATGTATGTATATATATATATCTATTCTATGTGCAGGAGATTTCGTATTACGTTTCGATGATTACAATGATCCACGCTTGACTCTCGTGCACGTTCGTATAGATACGAGCATTCGCGAATGCTTACCACCACGTGTAAAATTTTGACATATATACGCGTTATATTTGTGCATTTGTGTGCGTGTATGAAAAAAAAAAAGAAAAAAAAAAAATATATATATATATATATATATATATGCATACATACTCGTTAATTGCGTTAAAATTTCCTATATTTTTCACTACGCGACGAGAAGATGCTCGAAGAAAAAAAGATAATAAAAAGAAAAAAAAAAAAAGGGAAGGAGATAAAAAAAGAAAAAAGAAAACGTCCATACCTCGTTGTCCTTTTAAATACGGTTTGAAGAAAAAAATTCTGCCTGTCTTCCTCTCTCTCTCTCTCTCTTTCTCTTTCTCTCTCTTTCTCTTTCTTTCGTATAATCGCACAAAGAGTAAATACAAGTAAATATATCTATCCTTTATACGTAGGGAAAATGCAAGTTCTAGCTTTCAGTGACACGCGCGTCGATTTGCATGAACACATTTCTCTTTTATGGGAGACGCATTTTACCGGAGGGTTGCACATCACGCACAAATACTTGAAACACCTATATATGTATTTACTTACATAGACATCACACACACACGCACACATATATATATATATATTCGCATTCGCTTTTATACTCTGTGAAATATAAAAAGAAATGCATATACTTATATGCACGAGATAGATATCTTTACATATGCAAAGAAAGATATATATATATATATATATATATATATATATATATATCATAAATATAAAGTAGTACATTTGAAAAATCACGAGACACGATAAATCAAATTAATAACTCAATATTTGATATATTCGACTATACTATCCCTTAGATTGGACTCTTGTGATATTACAAGAAAAAAAAAAAAAAAAGAAAAAAAAAAGAAAGAAATAATTTGTATCGATTTCGAGAAAATTTCTTTTTCAACGATTTCATGGACAAAAAACGGAATTCTTTTGATTTCACAAAATCTCTAATCCTAACATGAAAGAAATCCCAAGGAAAAGCGAAGGGGTTAAATGTCTAAGAGAAGCAGCTGAGCGTTCAACAATCACGGAGACATTTTCGTTGGAATATACATAGCTTCCTCTCTCTCTCTCTCTCTCTCTCTCTCACACACACATACACATACACAGACAGAGAAAGAGAGAGAGAGAGAGAGAGAGAGAGAGAGAGAGAGAGAGAGAGAGAGACATTCCCATCTATGTCGAAAGCAAGGAAAGCACAGAGAACTCGGACGTTCGCATCGTTATCCCGTATAGCTTGCAACGGTGAGCTCTAGTTAATTTGGTTGACAAGAGACTCCCTTGTAGGAAGCTTGCTTCCCTGATGCTGTTTGTTAGAAACCACTCCCCCTTTGCCAATAAACCATTTCTCTTATCTTACTATCGTGATCTAACAGAGTAAATGTGACGTTGATACCGAAGATACGTGATTGATACCGATATAAGTAACATGAACTTTATTTATTAATACGATTTTACATTTAAAAAATAAATAAATAAATAAATAAATATATATATATATATATATATTTTTTCTTTTTTTCCCCTTTTTCGTTCTTCGTTTTCTTTGTTTCTATTCCTTCTGTTCTTTTTTTTTTTTCTTTTTCCTTTCATTTTAAATATTAATTTATCATTGTTATATTTTTTTCCTTTTTGCACAGATACATATATACATACATATGTTTTTGTTCTTTACGTTTCTCGTATATTTTTATAATTATACAGTTTCGTTTAAATTACGAAAACCCGTTATCTCGAAATAATTTATAATATAATATTTGCGTGTGGGTGTTGTTTCCCTCTCAATCTCTCTCTCTCTCTCTCTCTCTCTCTCTCTATGTGTGTATGTAGGAGCGCATGCGCGCGATGTTAAAGGTACAATTTAATGGAAATTATTAAACAAACATTATTTTATATTTATTATTGTTAGGATTAGAATCTATGTATATTGATGAGTAGAGAGAAAGAGAAAGAAAAAAAGAAAAAGAGAAGGAGAGAGAGAGAGAGAGAGAGAGAGCAAGAGAAAACATTTCTCATGAATTCGTGTCAAAGATGAAAAATTAACGCACAAAGATCGAGCATTCTCTGTTACGAGTGACACGCAATGGACGCCTTGTGGTTTAGCGAATGGAAGGGTAAAGAGGAAATTAGGGTCAAAGGTCGCTCTTCTCTGAGCTTGTTTGTGCTTGACATACAGACCGGACGAACTCGTATATGCATCCACATAGTATGAATACTGGCTCACACACACAGGCACATACATATATGCGCGTGCGCACAAAACTATACACATGTATACATACTTACATACATACATACATACATACATATATATATATATATATATATATATATATATGTATATATATACACACACAAACACACATACATGAAGTCATACACACATACATGTACGCATATGTGGATGTAAAACCACTATTACGTAGATGTCATTGGGAAGCGTGAATATTGATCGGAAAGGTCAAAGGAATTGATCCTGGAGTCCTTTAGAAGTTCCAGGCTAAACATTTATCAAATTGTAAAATGTTTCGCTTGTATTAAACTCTGGTTCTCGCTTATTGGCACTATCAAGTTTTAACTTCTATATGTATATATATATAAGTCTTCTTTCTCAATATGAAAGATTGTCATTCTCCTTTCGATATATTGTCGTATTACTGTGATTTCGTGATTTCTGTACTGTACTTACATTACGTGACTATTTCATGAAGACCATAAATACTAGGTCGATATCAAAAGTGAAAGAAAGAGAGAAAGAGAAAGAAAGAGAGAGAGAGAGAGAGAGAGAGAGAGAGAAATTGCTATCATTAATTTCACTTCAAATCGTAAAATCGGATTTCTACGAGTGCTTTTCTTTGAAAATCGTTCATAATTCTACGTTGATCATCAATTTGGATTAAACGAGAAATATGCTTTGTAGTACGTAATATTTATATATATATATAATTATATATATATAAAACCATATATATATATATACATATATATATATATATATATCGTCTTTAATCTATCTAGTTTCCTGTAAAGAAAAACGAAAAATCACTGATGGGATTTATTGCTTCGGAAACAGAATATCCGAGATCAAAAGCTAGTCGTAAAGTACATGCAAGATAGGTGCGCCCGGTCCGATATTGCAATAAACTATTCAAGCGGTACATATACGAGCACACATAAATATACACGTATGGATGCATACACACACATACACATACACAGACACATGCATACACTAGGTATTGAATTAAGCCAGTGCTCGTTTCTCAGTCAAAATCGACGCTCACAGTTTACGTGCGAGTGCGTTTTGAAATCGAATCGCATTGTTCGACGAATGCAATGCCGCGAAATCGGTTAAATCAATTATTTCGATATTTTAATTTGTTTGTACGAAATTTTGTCAATTAAATAAGAAAAACCGTACGAGATATACGTGATACATATTTTTGACCTGTTCTAACGCGATAAATTAATATTAACGTTAACGATAATTTAATTTTCGTTGAAACGTATAAAACGAAAATACGAGAGAGAAAATGGAATAAGAAGAACAACAAGGTATAATGAAATTGATCGATGATAACATTTTATATTTTGTGTTGCAGCGCCACCGCAAAAGGTCGAGATAAGTAGTCACATGTATAAGAAAAAAATGGATGGGGGAAGTGGTCACTCGAGTAAGAAAAAGATCGAGGTAAAAGTTGGAGAATCGACGCGTTTGGAATGCGTCGTAAGATCGGCTAAACCAGCTGCTACGATTGTTTGGTATCGTGGAAACGTTCAAATCAAAGGCGGCGATACCAGTATTACGCCGATATCAATCGAGGGTGGTAAGTTATAATTTTTATATTTATAATATAACGCTATTATTATTTTATTCATATAAATACACAATATAATATATACATATATATATGTAGAACACTACACATAAATATATATATATATATATATATATATATATATGTGTGTGTATATAAAATATTAATTGCGTAGGTAATAATAAACGTAGGTAAACGCAGTGAACATTGAAAATAGTAAAGAAGAAAAGTTAAAGGAAAGTACGAAACACATTCGTCACTTTTTTTTTTTTTTTTTTTTTCATTTCGATCTCGTCGCTGAGATTCGACCTGAACTGCGTTGGATGAGGCGAAATGGGATCGGATGGGATAGGAGGGGGAGGGAGGTGATTGTGAGGGTGGGGAGTAGAAAGAGGCAGAGATTAAAAAAAAATAGAGAGACAGAGAAAGAGAGAGAGAGAAAGAGAGAGAGAGAGAGAGAGAAAGGAAACAAAAAAAAAATCGAAAGAATCATCGGCTTAATTGAATTTTCCTTGTACTAGCGACCGCTCGATCATCCGAAAGTATCGATTATTCCGCTCGCGCGCACGTTCGATTAAAACGAGATAACGGGCGGATATCGATAGGGCAATGCAATCACGGAACAAACATCGATGTATTTTAGAATTAACGCCGTTTAAAACATTCCATCCTCGTTTCTCGTAATATGTACATAACTGCGTACATACGTGCTTTGGTTAAAACTCTGTAAGCTCATAACCTTTGGTGGTAAATAGATATATTACATGGATATGTATTGTCGCTTATCGAAACAAAGAAACCAATCCCCTCCTTCCTAATTCCCCGATCCACGTCCCTCGCCCCGTCCTTATTATCCACTCCTCCACCTCCTTCAGAGATTCATCATAAACACGATCAATCTTATACTTCTCTACAATACTTTTTCTAAATCGTCAAATATGTTTAATCCTATTGACATTAAATAAATAAATCATAGCCAAGATCTTGATTATTCTAATCTCTTTCAAATAATACATATAACTTCTCTACAATATTTTTTCTAAATCATTAAATATGTTTAATCCTGTTGACATTAAATAAATAAATCATAGCCAAGATCTTAATTATTCTAATCTCTTTCAAATAATACATATAACTTATACAATTGTACATTAATTCATTTATTTACTTGTTATAATGTTATAGCAATCGTTTCTCATTAAAATGTGAATATTATTAAAAATTTTCATGATTTTTATAGAGTCTTAGTAATTAATGATAATAATAATTTGTTAAAAGTTAAGATCAAAGAGAAAATTCTCTCTCTTTGTCTCTCTCTCTCTCTCTCTCTTCATATATATATATATATATATATATATATATATGTACTGTAAATACTGTACGTGTATATAGAAGTAATTAACTAACCTATCTAATTACGTACCGCGTAAGTAGATACTTAAGAAAATATTAAGAGCCTCACAGTAGCTTCTCATTCATATTGATTATCCTTTCAGACAAGGAGATGCTGAAGCCCGGTTTGATAACGAAGAAACTTCTCAAATACGATACCCACGGATCTATCACGATCGTCCCCACTGCCGACGATGATGAGATGGATTATACCTGCGAAGCCAATCATCCAGCAATTCCCATTAATCGTCCGATGCGGGCGACCATCAAACTCTCCGTTTTCTGTAAGTAAAGGTTTCAGGCTCCATCGCAAGCATGAATGTTAATCGGAAAGATAAATTGGACGGATTGAAAACGATAATAAAGGAATACGTTTTCAAATGTCCTTTCTCAAACGATACTCACCGGGAAGTTTTTCTTTTTTCCTTTTCTTTTTTTTTTTTTTTTTTTTTTTCTTTTATTCTTCTTTATCTTTCCTTCCCAAAAAAGTTTCCTAATACGTTGTTTTAAAAATCAATTACTCCTTTAACAAAACTTTCTTAGACTGATCTTTATTACATTTTTTTTTTTTTCTTTTTTTTTTTAATATTCTTCCTTCATATTTTAAAACTAGCCTGATTATAAGACTAGTAAGTTCGTGAAAATGTAATTAATTTTTAAAATCATTTTCGATTAAATCCGCGTAAAAGTATTCTCGTTATAACGCGGAAACGAGACGTGCTCTATATATAATATATATAATATATATATATAAATATATATATATAGTTATAATTTCAATATTTCAAATCTTCGAAAGAAAATTTTAATATACTATAAATGAAGTCTAAGTCTTAACTCTTTCGCTTAACATCGATATAATTATAAAGACATTATTGTGTAAAAATTTTTTATTATATATTAAATCATTTAATCCTTATAATTGCGATTTTATTATTTCGTATAAAAATAAAATGATTTATTTCGTCGGACAAATAAATAAGTTGAAAATTAATAATAATAATAACATTTTAAAACGACATTAGACATCGAGTAAATTAAATTATATTATCTTATTTAATTTGTTGTTATATATATATATATATGGATGAATAGATTGATCAATTCTGATAAAATAAATTAAATTACAGATCCACCAGGCATGCCGTACATCGAGGGTTACACAGAGGGTGAAACCGTACAACGCGATCAACAAGTGGAGCTCACCTGTCGATCGAGGGGTGGAAATCCACCTGCCCAAATCGTTTGGTTTAGAAATGACCAACAAGTCACGACGGAATATCGTTCAGAAGGTAGCCTATCGGAGAGTATATTATCGTTCAAGGCTATGGCACAAGACGACAAGGCACGATACAGATGCGAGGTGTCCAATATCATGAGCGTTGAACCCATGAAAGTCCACGTTGACCTCACTGTACTTTGTAAGTATCAATTATGACAAAAAATGTCTTGTAAACGTAAAAGATGTCTTGTGATCGTAAATGTAACATTGAAGAATAATAATCTAAATGAATACGTACATATATATATATATATATATACATATATCACTACTCTTATCTGATTATCAACGTTAAATTAATTTAAACCATTTTTATAAATTTATTAAAATAAAAAATGAATTTTATAATTTTAATAAAATTTAATTTAATTAAGAGGTAAAAAATATATAGATTTAGGTCATCTACGAAATTTTTTTTTTATTATATTTTATATATATATATATATATATATATATATGTATGTGTGTGTGTGTGTATATATATAAACGAGGAATCCTCACAATTATGAAATAGTATTAATAAAATAACTTTTCAAAATGAGATATTGTTGTTTGAGCTAGGAAAAAAAGAAAAGTAAAAAAAAAAAAAGAAACAGAAAAAAAAATAGAAGAATAGAAACGACAGATGAAACATATATATATATATATATATATATATATATATATATATATATCTAATCGTGAAAATTTTTCTAGTCGTACCAGCGGGCGTGATAATCACCGGGCCGACCGAAGCAAAGGCAGGCGAACAAGTAGTGATTACTTGCACAACAGAGAACTCAAACCCACCGGCGGATATAAAGTGGTCGGTAGACGGTCGGAACTTTGAGAATAGCACGTCGAAAACAGAACCGGCGTCTCAGGGTGGTTGGATCACAACTTCGAATGTGACTTTCAGTATAAATCACAAGAGTAGAAGCATCGTTGTTATCTGCCACGCGTCGAATGCGAAACTTGCTGAGAACGTGGTTGGCACACATACTATCAATGTCATCTGTGAGTATAATATATAGTTTTAATACATACATACTTATATATATATATACACGTACAAACTAACGTAATGAAATTTTCGTTCGATGAACTCGCGAACGATCAATTCGTCAACGCGCATTAGTCCAGGTCCCCAAAGTTATTTTTACTTGATCCGATCGTTGATCTATGCTATTCATGTGAAAGGAAAGTTCAACGAACTCCACGTTAAAGTGACAGAGAAAGAGAGAGAGAGAGAGAGAGAGAGAGAGAGAGGATCGACATGAGTCTCGATTTCAATGAATTTTTTAAACGTTTTCCAATGACGTACAATTTGTAATATTCTCGGAATGGTTCCTGATGGTATTACATCCGACACGCTTATATTTCGTTCAATATTTGACATATCCCACTCCACCCACCTTTCTCCCACTCATCTCTTTCTTCGTCGTTCCAATGACATTTCGTAATAGGTACGGTCAAATGAAGAGAAAGGTCGCGACATGCGTGGGACATGCTGATGTGCTATCCGAGGCTGGCACTAGAGGTGAGACTATAATATAACAACAACAACAACAACAATAATAATAACAACAATAATAACAACAACAACAACAACAACAGACGGCGTTGTCTCCAAACGAGAATAATTTGCTCAAACAGTAGAATTCTGAATTAGGAAATACGAACGCCAATCTCTCTCTCTCTCCCTCTCTCTCTCTCTCTCTCTATATATATATATATATATATATATATATATATATATATGTCTACCTCACTGTTCTAACCGAGAAGATTGATTTACCCAAACCGAAGGTAGGAATTTGCATCGGAAACTACGAGGACGATAATGCACTCTGTTGCATCGACATTGTAGCGTATCCGTTGCAGACAGAATCGTTAGAATAATTTATCTAATATTGTTATTTTACTTACTTTATATTATCTAGCCTAATGAAAAGGAATATCGGAATTATTTAACATCTCCTTAGATCTTTATCTTCAATGATTATTTGACTCGATTTTTTCACTCCTCTCTTTCTCTCTCTCTCTCTCTCTCTCTTTTCTTTTTTTCTTTGATCGATCTAATCGCGAATATAAATAATCAATATAATTCTCAATTCTCGTGTGAACCTATTTTCTGTAAACTTCAGTCATCCATATAATCGTCTTACGTAGATTATTTAGTTTACGTTTCAGCGTATAATAAGAATTTTCAAAGATAAATTGTAATGTTAAATTTTCAAGATGGAGTATGATGTGACTTTATAATAAGAACATAACGCGCGTGTCTTCTTTAATTCGTTAAGGACGAACAAATGAGCTTTTTTAATAATATAGGATATAATATTCTGACCGAAAAAAAGAAAAAAAAAAAAACAAGAAAAAAAAAGAAAAGAAAAGAAAAGAAAAGAAAAGAAAAAAGAAGTAATTTCTATAGCTTTTGAAAATGTTCACGAGAATGCTACGTCATTTAGCGAGACACAATACCGGGCCGCCGGACTACTAGGATGCGCAACGTGTATCCCGGTGAGAGCTACGCGTATTAACGGTATACGCTTTTTGATACGAACGCAAAAGAGAATGAAGATTAAAGCCGGCAACACACACTTTGTTCTAGATCCACCCTCGAACCTCTTCGTCACTGGTTATGAAGAGGGTACAACTATAGACGCCGGCACGGTATTAAGACTTCAATGCACAGCCACCGCTGGTAATCCACTGGCAACTCTGACGTGGTATAAAAACGATAGAAAGGTACATGATCCATGAGACGATTTTTTATTATCCATCTATTTCTCTATATTTTATTTAAATGGATTTACAATTTTTTATCCATTTTATATCTTATATATAAATTTATTGTTTTATTATTTCAGATTCTTGGTACTTCTAGAACGAGAGATCAAGCTGTATCCAGTGAATTAGCGATACTGGTTAATGCATCGGATAACAATGCACACGTTAGATGCGAAGCAACCAATTCGGCAACCGAGATACCACTGATGAAAACATTGATATTGAAAGTCAATTGTATGTAGATAATATAATATATTTCATATAATATAATTGTAATTAAATATACGATTACGAATTATTCGCGTTATCAATTCTAATCGTATACTAATCGCAAAATAAATTTCCAATTGTGCGCGCTTGGTGCTACGTTATATATTCGAAACATTATTAAAATCTGTCATTTGTAGAGAACGATGAATTTTTTTTTCTTTTTCTTCCTACAAAAATATTCTTTAGATTCTCTTTGAAGCGTCGCGAGATAATAATCGTTAATTTGGAAAAATCATTTTCAATTCTGTCCTTAATAAAAAAAGAAAAAGAAAAAAAAAATCATGGATCACACAAAATTGTCTTGGGCTGAAAATTGATCTGGTATGTTCTCTATACCACACAATGCACAATTAGGGTTATCAATTTTATTTTGTATTATTTCATTTTTGTTTTTATTTCTTTCTTTTTTTTTTTTTTGTTTTCAGTTCCACCCGAAAAAGTGAAGATCACGCGAGACCCGCAAGATTTTCATGCAGGTCAGGAAGGTCGTATTATATGCGAATCGAGCAGTAGCAATCCAGCGGCCGAAATGTCATGGTGGAAGGGTGGAATATCGGTACCGTCGACGAAAAATGGTACCAAATCTGGTCTACACGGTGGTTACCTATCTTATGTGGAATTGTCATTGGATTTAACCGAGGAGATGAATTGCGAGGTTTACACCTGTCAAGCTAGAAACGCTCAGATGGAAAGATCAATACACGACGCTATAACGTTACACGTTTTATGTGAGTATATAAATAAAGACAATATCGTATTACAAAGATAATTAAACAGTAAGGTGATCGTGTTAAACGACATTTAATTAAATAAAATTTACGTAGATTTAAAACAACCGCTTTGTGATTATCACATGAGATTACGAGTTAAATTCAAACTTAGTATTATGAACAATTATGTTATATATGTGTTCTCATCTTTCTCTTTCTCTCTTTCTTTTTCTTTCTCTCTTTCTCTCTCTCTCTCTCTCTCTCTCTCTCTCTTTCTTTCTTTCTCTCTCTCTTTCTTTTCTCTCTCTTAGATAAGCCGATATTTTCAACACTGGATCCTTACGAATTAACCGGTATGGAAGGTGAACCATTCGTAATATCCGTATCAGCAACTGGAAATCCTAATTTGATAACTTATACATGGACGAGAGATGGTTTACCATTGAGTAGTAGCGGTAAAAGGATAACCGCACGTGGTCCAACGTTGAATATAACAAAATTGGAACGTTACGACGCAGGAACTTATACGTGCGAAGCCATTAACGAGGAAGGGACTACGTTTTATCCATTGAATTTGACCGTCCAATGTGAGCGAAATTTCTTTCCCTCGTTTTTTTTTTTTCCTTTTTTTTCTTTTATTTCCAAAAATTTCCTTTTATATATAATCACGATAATAATAATCCATTAGTCCCGCTCAAGGGAATCCCTTTTTTTTCCTCTATCCCCCCAACCCCCCACCCCACTCAGTTAAACTCCAATTTCTATAAGTATATGCGTATGTGTGCTTATCAAAGGTTATTTTTTTCTCCTATATTCCTTTTTCAACTTAGATCCGGCGAAAATTTTACGAACGTCAATGTCCGGCACCGTATATCCACCTGGAATCGAGGCTAAATTGTTTTGCGAGGTCGATGGTAGCCCGATAGGTGATGAATACGTGACCTGGCAGAAAGTAGGCTCAAACACAGAATTACCAGGAAGATATTCAACGTCTTTTGCAAACAAAACGTCGTATCTTCATATCGAACATCCGGATCAGGAAGACGTTGGGGAATATCGGTGCAAAGTTAACAATGGAATTGGCAATGCCACCTCTAAACCGATTTTATTCATAACCAATTGTGAGTTAATAAATAATTGTTTTTTATTAAAATGAAAAAAAAAAAATATCTATGTATATATATATATATATGTATTGTATGTAACACGTTATTTATCTTCTCTTCTTCCTGTCATCGATTAAAATAAATATCTTTTATATGTTCGAAAAAAAAAAAAAAAAAAAACAAAACGAAACAAACAACCAAAAAAAAAACAAACAAAACAGTTAAACCGGAGATGATGAATACACCGCTTACGAGAAAGGCAGCGGCAAATAAAGGAATAAATGCGCCGTTATATTGTAAAGCACGTGGATCCCCATTGCCACGTTTCACGTGGATTTTCAACGGTAGAACATTATTGCCTAACGCGACGGAACACAAATATAGCATAACCCATAGCGACGTAAGTGATTATTTTATATTCTCTTTGATTGTAAATAAGGACATATAAATTGTCTTTCGGACAAAATGATTTTTCCTTTTCTTTTTTTTTTTTTTTTCTATTTATATAATGACAAGATATTAAGTTTTGATGTATGTAGAAAAAAAAAAAAAAGAAAAAAAAAGAAAGAGAAAAAAAGAAGAAAAACAAAATAATAATAATAATAATCTTTATCCTATCATTGGCAATATTTCCAGTTGTCCGAATTAACGTCCGAGTCAACGTTGACGATATTCCACGTGAAGTCTCACGATTACGGGAAATATGAGTGTCGTGCGGAAAATAAAATGGGCCAATCGATCGATACAATACATTTGGATGTAACGTCACCGCCTGACAAACCCTCAGATTTGGAGGTTTACAATGTTACCCATGATTCCGTAACGTTGACCTGGAAAAGGGGATTCGATGGTGGCCTACCAACGTCACATCAAATAAGATGGAGACAAGCGTTGGATTATGAGAGCCGTTATAGATATTTAGATGTTTTACCGGGCGAATATAAAGCTGTAATATGCGGCCTAACACTCGGAACATATTACGTCTTTAGCGTGAAAGCTATAAACGAAAAGGGCGAAAGCAGTTTTTTGCCCGATCTTGTCAAGGTCCAAACATTACGTAAGTCTTTCAACATGGACGCTTTTATTCCAAACAATAATACATACCTCTGCTTTCTCTTCATTTAATCATTTTATGTTTCTGTCATAATTTTTTTTTTTTTATTAATTTATATATATATATATATATATATATATATATATATATATATATTATTTGTCATAGTGCGCCAACAAATATAATTAACGCTCTCTTTATTAACGCATCGTTAGCTAAACTGCTTTACGTGTCGAACCATGTAACGTGCCAGTATGCGTCAATTAGATTTAGATATAGAGGCTTAATGTGTGAAATACGCTTGTCATTAAACCGTAGATATTAGGTATGTACGTGCTCTACTATTACTATATTCATTCGTATACGATTCGCGTTCACGATTCATAGATCATTTCGAAATGTTTCATATTTGGAAACGGGATTATATATCTTTCGTATACATACGCTTCTACGACTATGTTTAACTCGTATTAGGTATGATCAATCATTCAATAAATGTCTGATCGTTTGTGTATTATCAAATTAATCGGTTAATTACTAAACTATTCAACTTGAAGCTTAATTACGATTCGTACTTTGTAACATGTTAACGTATAGATCGATATAAATCAAGATAGAGATAGAGATAGAGAGATAAAGAGAGAGAGAGAGAGAGAGAGAGAGAAAAATTGAACGCACTTCGTGATAATCTGATTTCGGCAAAAAAAAAAAAAATATATATATATATTAAAAAAAAAAGAACAAAAAAGAAAGAAAAAAAAATCGTCAGATTGAAATTTCGAATCGCTTAAGTTGTTTATGGTAATAAAAAAAAAAAAAGAAAAAGAAAAAAAAAAGGGGGGAAGAAGAAAGAAGAAAAACAACAAAGGGAGAGAGAGAGAGAGAAAGAGAGAGAGAGAAATAAGACAAGGAATAAAAACTTATCGACGAATGTTAAAACTAACACGTAGGCACATAATCATTTTGCATGAGTAACAAATCGGGTGACGGGGCACATTGGCTTGGGTTACAGGCGAGGCGCCACCCACCGAGTTGACATCAAGCGAGATTAATTCCTCGTACATCATCGTGATAATCATCACTGTTTCTGCATCCGCTTGTCTACTCATTGCCGCGCCCATAGTCTTTGCTACATTAAAGTCGAAAAAGAAGGCACACCGTTCTGGTAAATATCATGATAAGATATGTTTTTTTCTTTCTGATTTATTTCATAGGACCGAATAACGTGGAAAACCTGCCAGACGTCCTCTTGGAAAGAGGGGACTTCCCAATGAATTATATCTATACGTTCGCAGCAACCTCCGCCATCTTTTTTATCGTTAATCTCTTCATCATGTTGTGGTACATTGTGCGAAAGCGAAATAAAGCTCGTAAGTTGATTAAGAATGAAATAAAGCCGGAGGAAAAGGATTTCAAAAAAGAAGAAGAAAAAAAAAATAGGAATTAAAAAAAAAATAAAAAAATAAAAAGAAAAGAAAAATAAAATACACCGACGAACAAAAAACGAGTAAAGAGTAAAGGTGAAAGGAAGGAAGGGGATGATCGAAGAAACAAAAATCAAAAGAAAAAAGAAAGGGAAAAGAAGCGAGACAAAAAATTAAATGAAAACAAAAAACGAAAGAGGACAAAAAACACTAGATCATTATATACACATATATGATATAAAGATTATAACTTGATCGAAGTATTTCTATCAAATATTTCATATACATCTAACAAACAAACAAACAAACAAACAAACGAACGAACGAACGAACGAACGAACGAACGAACGAACGAACGTACGAGACAAACACGACACAATCTTAATCTTAAGCTATAATGAAATATAAAATTTTAATTATTATACGCAAGTACGCGATAGTTTGAACTAATCGCACTTATTAAACTATTTTGACAGGATTAAACAAGTCGCAGACAGCTGATATGTATGCCCCATCGACCGTCAACGGTGACACTATGACCGGCGAATTAAGTTCCGTGTCCGATGAGAAGAGCGACGTTAACTTCGACGCTAATGATTACGTGGTCAGTGCCATCAGTCAATATGTTCTTAGTAACAAGTAATATCGGAGGGTAGGTTTGAGTTCTGTTAACACTTTTTCTTTTCCAAACTCTTTTAGTTTTCCCCAACAATCACCCCAACCCAGAAACAAAATCCCCATTATCCTTGGCTTACGCGTTGCTGCTTTAATATCTTACATTTTCGTTCCGACGCACGATATTTACAAACTTTACTCGACACTTTCTTCGAACCTTCTTCTCATCCTCCTCCTCCTCCTCCACCTCCTTCTCTTCGTTCCTTCCACCATTCATCCCTCCTACTTTCCTCACAAACCACTATCAACTAAATTCTCGTTAAAGCGAAAACCCTCCTCGCAATGCTTAGAGTATCATTTTTCTTTCTTCCTGACTCGAACGCGTACTAATGGAATTTCGGAAAGTAGAAATCTTTTTTTTTTATAATCCTTGTCCTTTTTATTCTTTTCTTTTTCTTTTTTTTTTTTTTTTTTTTTTTTTTTGTAGTATTTTCCTTTTTCTCCTCCGCACACATACACATAATAATACACACGCGCGTAAACATGTATTTTCATAGCGTGGTGCCAATATCGATGATCAAATAAGAATAATTGCATTCCAATATTTCCATTATTTATAGATTAATTATCGATAATGTTTAATTATTAAGATCTCTCGTAGACACGAAACGATGAATTCCACTTTCTTTCTCTCTCTCTCTCTCTCTCTCTCTCTCTCTCTCTCTCTAGACGAAATTATGGACCGAAGAGGTGGACCGATGAGATGGGAGAGGGAAAGGGAGAATTAACGAAAATGAAATAAAAAGAAAAAAGAGAAAGAAAGAGAGAGAGAGAGAGAGAGAGAGAGAGAGAGAGAGAAGAAAAAGAAATAGAAAAAAAAGGAAAAGGGTTGATTTAAAATGCACATAATGAATGCATCGTAGAAACAATACGCTTGAAAATGTGAGCTTCCACAGAAAAGAAGGGAAAGGAAAAAGAAGAAGAATAAGAAGAAGAAGAAGAAGAAGAAGAAAGGAGAACGAGAAAAAAAGAGAAAGGATAAAAAAAAAAGATAATAAAGAAAAGAAAAAAAAAAAAAAAAAAGAAAAAAAAGAAAAACCGAGATAATACGTCCACAGTGTGTTCTACTCGTCACGTGGACGAGAGAAACCGCAGTGTGTTTATCATTGTTCTGTCCTCTCTTCTGATTTGCGCGTACGCTTTTTACGAGAATGAATACACATATCAGATTCCATATCCAATATTTTTTCTAGCTTTTTAGCTATTATTATTTTGTTTTTTTCTCCCTCCCCAGTTTTTCCTTTACATTTTTGTTTCTTCTTCTTTTTTTCTCTATCTCTCTCTCTCTCTCTCTCTCTCTCTCTCTCTTTTGCCTAACCTTCCCTCTCCCCCCGCTCCCATCCCTGTCTTCTTTTTCCTCCTTTCTTTTTGACATAATGCACAGTATCAATCCGATCCTCTTGTTTCGACGCTGTAGCAAAATAACAGCCCCCTCTCTATTTAACGATAAGACTTCGTATGCTTTTGGGAAAAGAGAACGCTGTTTCTACACTTTGTAGAATGGGTAGAATACAACTGATAGATACGAAAAGGAAAAAAGATATGTATATATATATATATATATATATATATATATATATATATCTTTTTTCGTGGTGT